CTCTCAAAGCAATCCAAAGCAAGAAGCTTATTTAAGAAGTTGGTCAGTAGATACCTAATGAGGGGTTAATATGCAAATAACTAGAGTGAAAGAGAATGAATTATAATAATGGGCAAGTTGCTCATAGATCATTTACCTTACTTTCAGGAAATCTGCCCCTGCACATCAGTTTTTAAAGTAGAACCTGCAGACTGACAGCCCACAGGGCGAATATGGCACACGGATAAGTTTGGTTTGACTTGAACAGATAAATTTGGCTGAGTTTTAAAACTCAGGAACGTCACACTAAAATCCATCCTTGTTACTTCTCTTTAAAAATGGAAAGATCTGGCAACACTAACAATTGCTGGAGCCACCATTTCCCATCGCTTTACACCAGACTGCTTTCCTCATTTCTATTGCTTGTCTGTAGGAATTTGTGTTTTCCACCCTGCCATGAAAGTGTCTGTCTTCGGAGAACAGCCTAATGAAAAGGGGTTTGCACCTGCCCACAGGCTCTGTTGATGGGCCGGGCTTAGGCAGCCATCTTTTCTCTGATGTTACCTCTCCCTCCAGCCCTTCTCAGCCGTGGCTGACTTCACCGGGGATGGCACCTGAATCAAAGATGACCCATCCTGAAGCTTGCCAGGAACTTCTGGCCTGGCAGGGAAAAGTAAGCAAGGGTAATCACATTCTTCACTCAGAACGTTGGAATTAGAAAACTGAGCAACTGTTGCCAGCTAGCGGGGGAGAAGAGTGGAGAGATTACGAAATACACTTAGGATCACCACAAGACAAAGCCCTGGGTCAGCTGGGCTGCGTGGTGGAGAGAGCCCATTGAGAGAGGGAAGTATCTTGTGCGCCAGAAGAGGCAGTGGTGAGACCCCAGGTGGCCCTGAGAGGTTGAGAGCACAGGTTTGCCCCTTAACGTCATCCTCAGTCCTAGTTCTGGTGAGACCTGATGTTTCTGCCCCTTAGTTTCTACTTCTTGGACGTCTGTGAGTTAGGAGAAATTTACCCCACTTGTCCTATATCCACCCTTCTTAGGGAAACAGTACTCTGAATCTCCTTAAGGGAACTAATCCACCATGAGAGAAAAGCCCATGTGAGAAAGAAGCCTATGCTCAGGAGAGAGAAGACCCCCCCACCGTAAATATTTTAAATGTTTCTTGTTTCTCCAGAAATGGTTGTTCTCAAAAGAATACTCTCTAAGCCTTCATTCAGCACGTATGCCTGTATTTAAGTCACAATTGAGAAATGCAGTAATAATACAAGTACATTTCATAAGCATTTATTGAGTATTCTCTGTACATCATCCACTGTGGTAGGCACTAAGAGGGGAGCAAACAAGATCAGATCCCTACACTCAAGGAGCTTACGATCTAATAGAGAAAACAGAATGTGTACATGCATTGCTGCAACAAAATAGAATGAAATAAACACTATGGTAAATATTTGCTGATCCTCATTGTCCTTAGGGAAGAGAGGAGAGGAAGAGAGAGGAGGAAGTGATTCTCTCTAATTGCGGTTGGGGGCACTTCGGTAATCTAGCTTCCTGGCAAATGACAAAAAGAGATGGCAGATGGGGACCAATGTACAGGGAAGCACTGACAGCAGGACAGTGTTGATGAACATGAAGGGAGGAGACAGGAAAGGAATACAAGAGAACTGGAAGCCTAGCAGGACAGAGAGAATAACCTCCTTCCCAGGGACTTGAGACATCATTGAATGACAGCCCAGAGTTGCCATCATGGTGGCACCAAAACTGAATAGCCTGAAGGGGCAGAGGAGGGAGAGGTCACTGTGGATTTGGATGGTCAGGGAATCTTTCTCAAGGAAACTGGCCCTCAGTGGGGCTTTGAGGTTACGTAGGATTTAGAAGAGGATGAGAGGCAGCAAGGAACACTCCGGGTAAAAGGAATCACGGGCGCAAAGGCATAGGAAGGTGAAGAAGCCGTCCTTTGTCCTCTCAGGGCCAGCATGTGTGTCTCTGGGCAGAGGAAAGCGGGAGCAGACCAGCTTTACTGGAGTTGATAGTTCGCAGTGGAGAGTGGTGGAAAAACACTGTTGATAAGACCGTCTGGAGCCAGCCTGTGGAAGGCCTTGGATTTCAGGACAAAGGGTTTGGACATGATCCTGGAGGCAATGGGAGCCAGAGAAGACTGGGGAAGGGGTTGACTTGATGAAAGAGTTCCTCATTCACTAAAGAAAAGCACCAAAGCAGCTCATTTTTCTCCTCAGAAAACAATCACAGAATTCAGCTTTAAATGCACCCCCAACTCCATGGAAAGCATATACCAGCCCCTGCAGGGCTCCCCGGGGGAGTTCATGAGTTCAGACTCAAAGCGCAAGATGTGTTTTACTTGGCATTTAAGCATGTCTATGGGTGATACATGTCCTAAAATGAGGACAGACTGATATGATTAAAAATTTTTATCAGTTAGTCTGACTCTCCCATTGTGCCTTTTCCCTCCACTGCTCAGCCTCTGACTCTTCTGCTTCTAAATATTCAGAGTAAAATGGCTGTAAGACAGACATACACTTTCTTACACGATGTGTGGTATAGATGCTTAGGATAAGGACTTTGGAGGAAGTAACTACTGCTTCCTTGAGCTTTCTACATCTCACTCCGTCCTTAGCAATGTTTAGGAACACCTAGTCTAGCACGTGGCAGGGACTCAGCTAGAACTAACTAGTAACAATGTTTATGATACATAGGGTTTTAAATGGAAACTTTCAATCTATTTCTTTTCTTCTTCCTTGCATTCTTCCTGCTCAGTGGCTCCCTACTATTCCTTCATTTCTCTTTCTTCCTTTTTCTTTTAGATTTTCTGTTCAGTTCATTCTTCTCACTTTCCCCACTTTCCCCCTTTTCTTTCTACTTTCTATGTTCTTGTAGCTTTCTTTTTCCTTACAGGAACTGGGAAAGACAAGGGTGTGTGGGCGGCCATGGCGTCCCTCCAAGGAAAGTGTGAGGCTTTGGGCAAAATAGATCTCTCATTTCTTCCAAACATAGGTCTAATCTGAACTGTCTCCAGGCTCTAGTCTCCAATCCAACTTCAGTGGTTTCAGTTGGACTCCATGAGAAGGGACCCCAGGGATGCTGTGTCGTTAGTCTTGTCTTGGAGAAAATCAGCTTTCTGTGCGCCTACTTGTCTCAAAGATTGGGGCACCCACATTCCCTTTCCTCAAGTCACTAGAGCCCAAGAGAGACTTCTGAGCAAAATGCCTGGCTGAAAAAAAGCAGGACTTCATTAAGAATTTGATTTATCCCCAAATGATCTATTGTTATGCATCAAACATGTTTTCCCTACGAACCAGTTGGCAGGGAGCATGCAGATAAATTACTACAAGATGTAACCAGACAAGCTGTTCAAAAGGGAAATGGCTCTCTGTGTGTGGAACTCAGGAGAGCACATCTATAAACATGTGTTGGGAAATCAATTCAGTCTAAGTTTGCTGGAAGAAATGAGCTACTGCCCCCAAGCTACCAGCTTGCTGTGATAGCTGACTGTTCTTTTGAGGTCATTGTCCATTGTCTTAGTGGTGAGGATGGAAAAACAAGGTCAAGACTGACTGTGCAGTGTCTTCAAAGAAAAGGGGATAAACTGGGTTATCCATGGGCGATTGTGGATTCTCTCCTTAGGCACAAATCATGTTAGCTACCCTTGTTTTGCTGGAGAGAGTAGGTTCGAGTGATTCTATCTGCATACAACAATATTTAGTTGTTAATGATAGATTTCAAAGGAACACTAGTAATACATACTACACTGTACTACAGCACAGTGCTGTAGAGTTTGATATGGAAGAAAACTCACTGGGCATGGCATCAGAGAGAGATGGGGGGCGGGATGTGTAAATCCTGCCTGACCCTGTGCCACTTGCTAGCTCTATGAGTGTTGGAAATTTCCTTAACTTCTCTGAGACTTCCCCCTCTTTTATAAAGGGGGACAGGCATATGACTTGCCTTAGAAGGTTGTTTTGTTATAACACATGCAAGGTACCCTATAACCACACTGTGGCCAATTAAATTTAAGTGAACTAAACCAAATACAATTAAAATGTTGTTTCTTTAGTCACAATAGCTACATTTCAAGTGACCAGTAGCTACATGGGGTTGTGGCTACTGTTTTGGGCAGCACAGATACATCATATTTCCATTATTGTGGCAAGTTCTATTAGACAGTACTGTCCTAGAACATGCCAGACACAAAGCAGTTACTTTATAAATAATTGTTGCCTCCTGCTTTATAGTTGTCAAGGCACTTTTGCACACACAACCTGATTGAAGGGCTGGAATGCCCTTTAATAGTCTCTTGGACATCACTGTCTATATAGGGTTCTAACCTGACTCAAGTCTACAAAGCATAGTGATTGCTGGAAAATTGGAGAGCATATGGAGAGAGGATTTCTGGGCCATTAGTTAAAAGATACCAAATGCATATGTGAGAGGCCTTGACTTCAACCACAAAATATACCTCAGTAGAGATAACAAATAAGAGTAGAAATGAAGTGAAATAAACAACAGTAACAAAAACAAACAAATCTGTAAGAATATCCACAGAATACTCAACATGATTTGTACTAACATGCATCTGACCCTCTTAATGTTTCATTTAACCAACTTGGAAGAATCCCAGTGTAGATGAAAGCTACCCCAAGATATATAGCTGAAGCTTAAGAAATGTTCTCAAGGTCAAAACAGAGTGACCTCCAATTCACTTTCATTTAGTTGAATACCATCTTGACTTTCCAGGGTGAGGGCAACACATCTATGCTGCAGCTGATGGGCTGTAGCCTGCCAAGAGGGTCCCCTTGATCTTCAGTGCGAATTTCTTGGCAGAAAGAAAGTAAGCACAAGGTAAGGTCGCCTTCCACATGCAGGAGTGAAAAGAACAAAAGCCATAGCTACATTTATTGAGGGCTTATTATATGTGCTGTTCTATTCATATTACACAGGTCATCTGATCATCTCCACCATAACCTTATGAAGTAAGAACTGTAATATCCCCATTTTATAGGTGAAGAACAGAGGCGCTGAATGGCGAAGAACTCACCCGAGATCACAAGCTAGTAATGATGGAGCCAGGACTTGACCCTGGGTGGACTAGCAAAAGTTCACATTTTTAACCCTTGTTCTCTGAGGCTTATCAAGGTAAGTGATCTTGCATTCAAATTTCAAAAAAATTAATTGTTTTACAATATTTAGGGCTTTCCTTCTGCAGTGTTTCTGGTCACTGTAAAAAACAGCTCTAAATATTAAAGAAAGTTATAGTGTTAAAGACTATGATGAAAACACTGCTTTCTAGATAAGTCAACTTACAGATTTCTGAAAACAAGCATTTTGTGAATGAATAAAGATAACAAATGCATATGGGATAGTGAGATCGTTTTATCTCTGAAGGTGCAGAACTATTTTGTCCCTGTGTTTAAATGAAGAACTTGTGAGGTGAAAACGGGCACTTGGG